GCAAACATCTAACTACATCCAGTGCCTACTTCCGACCTCCATGGGCACCGGACATAAACATGGCGCACATACGTGCAGGCAAAAACAATAATACACATAAAATAACTAAAAGTTAAAACCAAACCAGAACTGCCTGCATTGTTGTGTGGGTTGAAGACCTTTGTCACTGTCACAGAATCCCCGTCTTCACAACCTCAGGTCCTCGGGTTATCTTGGAGATTGCTGTGTGTTGCTGGAAATTCAGTTGCACTGCTTCCCTACAGGAGTGTGTGAGCCTTGTGCAAGATGAAAAGGGATAAAAGAGGGTGAGGTCCCCCCTAATCCTAGCACCTAGTAAAACCTGTCACAGGCATGCTTCCACCAGACAGATACAGTCATGGGCACTGGCAATAGGTAACTTATTAAAAACTGCCCAAGAAATATACCTCTCTTAGGCTAGGGGTGTGGCTAGGTTGGTTGAGTGCTTGCCTAGCTTGCACAAATCCTTGGGTTCAAATCCCTAGCACCACATAAAATTAAGTGTGGTTTTGGTTCCTCCTGGTGGTTGAGAGTGAAGGCAGGAAGATTAGAAGTTCAGGCCTATCCTTAGCTACTTAGCAAGTTCGAGGTCAGCCTGGGATACACGAAACCCTGTCTTAAAAAAAATCAAAACAACCAGGAATGGTGGCATATGTCTTTAATCCCAGCACTTGAGAAGCAGAGGCAGGCAGATCTCTGTGAATTCCAGGCTAACCTGATCTACACAAAGAGTTCTAGGTCAGCCTGAGCTACACAGTGAAACCCTGTCTCAAAACAGACAAAAAGACCAAAAGCCCTCTTTCCACTTGGTTCACATATTTTCACAACCAGGTTCTCCAGAAGGGGCTCTCCTCTGGAGCACTTTGCCTCACAGGTATGCGACCTGTCCCTATGTCCTACTCTTGTGGATACATCCCAAGGTGTGTTCAACAGAATGCCCCTCAGGTCTGGGCCCCTGGCTGATAGATGGGAGTGGGGTGGGTGGTCTCCTGTAGCTACTCCTCTCGGGCAGTAACACGATAGACGCCTACATGCTGATGGTTTCCAGCTCCTCGGCCCTAATGTGTGTCAAGTAGAAAGGTGGACTCAGGACTGCAATAGTAAACTGTCTGGAGGGGAAGACCAGCAGACAATACCCAGAGTTAAGTGCATTTACATGGAGAATGGGGAGCAGGCTAGATGCCATGGAGAGCGTGTTACAAGGAGTCTAGATATTTATCGGAAGCTGCTCAGAAAAGGGCAGCCCTTTTCATTACCTGGATGTCATTAACTCAAGTGCCACTAAGAAAGGAAACATTGCTAGTGAAGTGGGGACATGATGCCTTCCACTTAGAGTGCTTACTGCTTCTTATTTAACACACTGCTAGACTGAGATTTTTAAAAAGCTCTTATGCACAAATTAAAGGAGCACAAACGCACAGTAAACAGGCTGAGCTCTAACTAACCCCATTGTTACTGTCAAGAGTCTACTGAATCACCACAGCTTAGCCATCCACGGAAACCTGTGCTAATAGCCCTTTCTTTGGTTCTTGCAAAGGACTAGTGATATAGGGCTATTATTTCTGGAACCTTCATCTCGCTGTGAATACCTATTATTCCCATGCTATTGATCCTTGATGATTCCAGGAAAGATCAGTGGAATCTTAGATAACCAGTACCTGTATTCCTTTCTCTTAGCTGAACACTCAGAACCTTCCATTGTCTCCAGTCTTGCCACAGGTGATAACCAAGTACACTTGTGTGTAGGTAGAGACAGTGATATCAGAAGCACTGTATCTCTCAGAGGTGGAAGACTGTATTGATGAACTGATGAAGACCAATTGTGGAAAAACTAGGAGTGGATGGAAGTTGCATTGTTACAACATGGCTCTGGGCGATGCTCTGTGACTCTCTTTTCACCAGTTCCAGGATCTGAACCATCCTCAAAGGCAGAGAGAAGGGAGCAGGGCAGGATTTTCCCCTTCTGCATATCAGGAAGAGAAAATATCTCCCTAGCTTCAAACCCCTCGGCAGATCTCTCCTCACACCCTATTGGACAAGACGGTGGTATAATGCCAGCCATAGCTGCAAGGGAGGCAGGAACATTTAAGTTTTGTTTGTAATCATTTCAGGAATGAGGACTAGGAAATGGCTCAGTCAGTAAAGCACTTGCTATGCAAGGATGAGCATCTGAGTCCCCAGGATCAGAAAAAACGTCAAGTGTGGTAGCACATGCTTACAACTCCTGTGATGGGGCTGTTTGATGCAGACTAAAGGGTCCCCAGGGTAGCCGAGCATAATTTGATGAATTCCAGGTCAAGAAGAGATCTTGACTCAAAGGAAGTAGACAGTGTTCCTGAGGATGGCCTCAGACCTCCACATACACAAATACACACATGCCCCAAAATACCTGCATGCAATACATATTCACACATATTCAAAAGAAAAAGATGCATGTGGTGGTACATCCCTTTAATTCCAGCACTGGGAAGCAGACACAAATAGACCTTGGTGAGTTCAAGGCCAGGCTGGTTTACATAGTAAGTTCCAGGCCAGCCAGAGTTACATACTGAGACGCTATCTTCAAAAAAGAGAGAAAAAAGTCTCAGTATATAGCACTGGGTGTCCTGAAACTCACTTTGTAGACCAGGCTGGCCTCCAACTCACAACGATCCACCTGCCTCTGCCCCCCAAGTGCCAGGATTAAAGGTGAGCGCCACTATGCCCTGCTTATATTATGCTTCTTCAAGCATAGAAAATCCAGAATTATTTTCCCAGAGTAGGGAAACCAGTGTGGCAGACAGACGCTCTTCCAGAAGACAACAGCTTCCAAACAAAAGATGGGGGTTCTCCCGAGCACAGCTAAAGAAGTCCTCCTGGACGATAAATATGACTGAGGTTGAACGGAGACTGAACAAGGCTATGAGGTTTTCGAGTGAGAGGCATGTTGTTTTCAGACATCTCCAGCTGTTCTGATTTGTTTTTCAGGACTTTTTTTTCCTTGCTTCTGTGGTTCCCTTTGGCACCGGGCTTGGTCCTGAGCCATCCTTATATCCTCTTTCCTAACCCTTGCCACTCTCCATCTTCCTGATGCTGGTGATATTGGAGCTGCATTGGCTCGGCTTCTCTGAGTGAAACTGAGCCCTTTGCCAAATGGGCACGTAATGTGTAGACTGCTGTTTCCCTCAGGTCTGTGGCAGAGTGTTTACAAGATCCAGAAGATGTTGATGGAGTTAGTCCCTGACCAGTTATTTGGGATTGGGGTATTGAAACCCAGCCTGGTCCTTTTGGCCATAAGTTGTCTTTTCTTTCACTGATTGCAATAGCAACTTGGGTATGGCCAGCAGCAGGCAGCAGCAACAACCGTCATCTTCAGTAGCATGAAAATAAAATAGAGCCAGGCGGTGGTGGCACAGCCTTTAATCCCAGCAGATGGATCTCTGTGAGTTCAAGGCCAGAGACAAAGGCAACCTATCAGGGCCTTGTTCCTGTAGAAAACTGGCTGGAAAGATGGCTCCGTGGTTTGGAGTATTTGCTGCTCCTCTGAAGGACTCAAGTTTGGTTCCCAGTGTCCACGTCCAGCAGCTCACAGTTGCTCCAGCTCCAGGGGATCTGATACCTTCTTCTAGCTTGGCCAGTGTGTGCTTGCTCAGACACACACACACACACACACACACACACACACACACACGCATGCTCTCACACACGCATGCTCACACACACACACATACACACACACAGAGAGATAACTTTAAGTGAATAATCTTTAAAAAGGTAGCTGACTCCCTGACTCCTGCCTGCAGCCATCAGTTGCCAGAAACTCCTCAGCAAGGCGGGACTTCCATGAATTTGATCAAAACACATCACATGCATTATGAAAGCCTCAAATAGTAAGTGGAAAATTAAACTATAAAAAATAAAATAAATCTAAACAACAACAGAATGTCACTAGGCTCTCCCCTGCCCTGAGGCACACCTGCACACCCAGAGCTACACCCAAACCTGTCATTGCCTTTGTCCTTTCTCTTCGCACAGACAGACCCTCACTTGGGGTGGGGGAGAGGAGGTTTGATTTTTCATCCACACAACACATTTACCTTGCTTTCCTAAACAAAAGAATACATTCACACTGAGTTTCCCTGCACAGCTCCTTCAGTATTTGAAGTGGTTACTTAGGCAGCAGAGATTTTTTTTAAATATCACTTATTCCTTTCTGATTCATTACCTTTTGGGTATTTTATGAAACTCGATATGCCCAATACGAGTAAATGTGCCTTGTAAACCGTCTCAGCTTCACAGATTTAAAAAAACAAAACAAAACTGTTGTCATACATTGAAACAACACTGTCTGCATTTTATAGCCTTTGGGAAGAAGTAGGGTTAAGCTCATAGAATATTAGGTTTTGAGTTTGTATCCAGATTCTGAGAACTGAGGATAACATAGCCATATATAGACTTTTACTGGTGGGAAGCCAGCAGCCTCCAGCCGTCTCTGGAGAGTTGGGATTGTAGTGGGGATGTCCCTGAGGTGCATAAAACCCTGAATTTGAGCCTATCACTACATAAACCAGGCATGCCTGTAATCCTAGCATTTGGGAGGTGAAGGCAAGAGAATCAGGAGTTCAAGATCATCCTAGCAGGTATGCCTACATTGCCAAGCAGCAAGTTCAAGGTTAGCCCTGGACACGTGAGAACCCTGTCTCAAACATACAAAGTGGGGAGCTGGAGAGATCAGTGATCCTAGCTACAGATTTCCCTGGGTCTGAAAGGGACGGGAACATCTCTAAAAGAAAGGGGGACCCCCAGAGGTGGCCCTGGAACATACCTGCATATCAGCAAGTATACGCGGGAACCTGAGGAGAGGCAACCCAGGGCTTTTTTCTGCCTTGTCCACTCACAGAGCAAAGGCCTCTCGGCCGCTGTCACATCTCATGCCTGTTCCCATTAGAGCCCATCAGCCCGCCGTCAGGCCTCTAACAAGTGCTCTCCTGTATTGTGTCCAGGGACAGGGTGCCTTGTCGGAGAGACTGCGAAGCTTCAGCATGCAGGACCTCACCACTATCAGGGGTGATGGTGCCCCTGCTCCCTCAGGCCCCCCTCCTCCAGGGACTGGGCGGTCCAGCGGCAAGCATGGTCAGCCCAAGATGTCCAGGAGTGCTTCTGAGAGTGCTGGCAGCTCAGGTAGGTCTGTCCCCTCCCTTTCTCACTCCTGGGCCTCATTGTCATTAGAGGAGCAGTACTGGATGGATCACACACAAGGTATCCCTTTGTCCCGTGGACCTGTCCAAACAGAGGTATTTGTTAGACTATCCCAGGCCAGATGATGAGCACAGCCACTCAGGAAGCTGGCCTAGGGACTGTGCCTTTGGCAGGAGAGGTTACACACACCCAGGGGTTATTTCTCCTTCATCACTGTCTGTGGAATCAGATGTTGGGTGCTAGTAACTGGGTCATGTCTGGAGCAGGAGGTGTGGTCTGGGCCTTGAAAGCACTTTCTATTCTCTCTGGCCCCTTACTCAGATCTTGTGACCCCCCCTGAGCATCTTCTCCACTCCTCAGGGCTGGTGATACCCCTAGACATTTCCTCCCTCTCCCATCTCCACCTCATCTCTGACTATTTACACACTACGCATGCCCACAGCCTGCACCTACCATGGACCACTCTAGACCTGAGGTCCAGTTCCTGGGGAGGTCAAGACCTTATGATATCTGAAAATCTACCTCTGCTGTCTAACTATTGTGGATAGGCGCTTAGCATGAGACTGCCCATATAGGTCTTTACCAGGGACCTTGCTTAATATGTGGAGACTCGGGCCTGTCTCCAGAGGTCTCAGTGAGACCCCGCTGTGTAGACTGAGGTGTGAAGCCAGTATCTAATCTACCCATGTGGACTTGATGCTTCTGGAGGTTGGTGTATGGACTGGGAGCCATCAGTTTCCAAGATGGATCCTTAGGAGGTGACAATGACTTGGGGAGCAGACCTGGGTTGCTAACAGAAAATGATGAACGGCAGGAAGCATAGAGGACGATGATGGGTTGGTTACCACCTCCTGATGGCCGAGTGTGTGTGGGGGGGGGTGCCACCACCTTTCCCCTCCTTGTTACAGAAGAATAAAAAAAAAAAAAAAAAGATCATTTTTAGACTCCTAACAGATGGCAGGAGCTGAAGACAGTTTAGGAGAAGGAACAGGGGACAGCATGGCTGCAGGCTGTGTCTGCAGCACCTGGAGCCCCAGATCCAGTGGGCATTGGTGGGTCTTGAAAGCAGGGTACCACATAGAAATGCACAGCCCACAGTGCGGTCTTATGTATTTATTTATATAACGTAAATATACAGCCAGATGTGATGAAATATGCCTTAATCCCAGCATGCAGGGGGCAGAGGCAGGAGAATCTCTGTGAATTGGGGGCCAGCTTAGTCTACAGAGCAAATTCCAGAACAGCAGGACTACACATAGAAACCCTGTCTCAAAAAAAAAAAAATAGGTAGGTAGGTAGGTACATAGGAAGTAGGTAGGCAGATAGGTAGGTAGGTAGGTAGGTAGGTACATAGGAAGTAGGTAGGCAGATAGGTAGGTAGGTAGGTGGTAGCAGGGATTGGAGAGATGCTGTATTTCTATAAGCATAAGAACCTGAGTTCGGGTCCCCAGAGTCCACAGAAAATCCCCGTGCAGTAGCACAAGCCAGCTCTGGGAAGGTGATGACAGGACCCTGAGACTTGTCCAGCCAGCCAGTCTGGAAGAACCAGTGAACTCCAGGTTCAGTAAGAGATCCTGGTCAAATGGTGAAGTGGAGAGCAAGAGAAGAGGCCACGTTCGCCTTTACACTCACAGCAGGAGCAGGCTCACCCTCACATGCACATTCATATATTACACACAAAATATACAGAATACAGAATAACAGTTTTCCAGAGCACAGTTAAGCACAAAGATGCATGTAGATATTGAGATTCATGCTTCTTGAGGAAGACAAATGATACGGGAGAGAAGCAATGGAGTGTATCCAAGACACAGCGTCAGGTCGGCTGAGAACTGGGGACAAGATCATTTGTTCTCTGCATCTTGAGGACAGAAAAGAATAAGACACAGAAACTGTAGAGGTGTGATTGTTCTGCCTACAAGCTTCTAGCAGACAGACCCTGGCTCTGCCTCCCTCTCCAGCCGACCTCCACTTGCCTGCCACGGGCCTCATACACAGCGCCCTGTGTGTATCACGAGGAGAACACAGGACCTGAGCTTGGTAGATGGAGAAGCAGAGCCTTCTGCTGCCACCCTCAGCTCCCGGGGCGAGGCTGGGCCACACACCAGAGCTGGCTCACCTGCCTGGAGTTTGCCCTCTGGTTTGAAGGATTGGGGCAGGCAGCAATGATTGCCCTCCCTGAGGAGTGAATGAGAGGGAGGGGCCTGCATTGGAACCGAGAGGATGCAGAGAGTCTCCCACAGATTCTGAGTCACTAGGTCAGCATGGACTTAGTGAGCACCTACTATCTGTCAGGGTCCACGTGGTCTGGAGACCAATGAATGCAGCGTCCAAACCAGTAGGCCTTTAGCCTTCTGCCAAATGCTCAGACAATAGTTCACTGGGGTTGAGGGACCGGCCTGAGAAGGTTTCCTGGAGGAATCTCTGAACCAGAAGTCTAGAAGAAGAGGTTTTGAGGAAGGGGCACTTATTCCCAGGGGAAACTTTCCCAGTTCCCATCCCCTTAGAGTTCTAGGAGCAGGGCCTGCCCTTAGAGGAAGCTGAATCAGAGGTGATCCCTTCCCACACTGCAGTGTCTGTAGACACCTCCTTGTTCCTGGGGTGACTTGCCTGTTTGCTGGGGCCCGGTTCCTGTTGGGCGGGGCCGTCTCTGACAGCGCCCTCACCCGACTCCCACAGTGTGCACCTGCTGCTCCTCCTGCAGGACCCGGAAAGGTGAGTAGCAGCCAGCCTGCCTGCAGCCTGCTGGATTCAGCTTGCTTCAGGGGGGCACTAACCAGGTGCTGGCCCCTGACCTTGGGGCTCCCTTTCAGCTGCACTGGCCAGATGGGGGACAAAACCCTTAAGGCAAGCAAACGCACTGTCTTTCATTTCCATGGCCAAACCTCGTAGGACTCTGGCTGAGCTCAGTCAGCTGAAGGCTTGACCGAGCCTGGCAGATCCACTCTGATATGGTTCCAGGAGCTTCTACCTACAGCTCCTTACTGCCTGGGTCCCTCTCGGGCTGCTGTTGGAGAGTCCAAACACATGGCAAGTGAACGGCTCTAGACAGAGAGAAAAGGCAGGAAGCCGTAACCTTTCATGACCTGGCCTTTGAAGTCAGGCTAGCACTTACCCTTGAGATGTTCTCTTTGATGGCCGTGAGTCACCAAGCCAAACCTCTGTTCCACGAGAGAATTATCCAGCCTCTTGGAAGGAATGTCAGAGACTCATGTGTGAATCTTTAAGCCAATGTGTAGTCGCATCCCTGTACAGTGCATTCTGGGGATGCAGAGACTGCCCACGCTCCACAGAAGGGAGGAAGCCCTGAGTTTTCAGGGGAGTCAGCCCTGCTCAAGGAGCTCTGGCTTGCCACTTACTAGCTGTGCAGCTTTCTGTGAGTCAGCTAACTGCCCTGAGCCTGTTTCTTCATCACACAACAGAGGTGGGGCCCCTGCCTTCCTCCCTGCACCGTAAAGGAAATGGCTGTTAAAAGGCTTTTGAAGGGGAACTACTAATTGTATTTATTTATTTGTGTGGGGTGCACGTGTACCTGTGATGTGCGTACCATGGCCTGTGTGCGGAGGTCAGAGAATGACGTGGGGGAGTTGGTTCTCTCTTCACACAGTGTGAGTTTGGGGGATCATATTCAGACCATCGGGCTGGGCAGCAGGCACCTTTGCTTGCTGAGCCATCTCTCTGGCCTGTGACTACTATTTTCACAGGCTGGACTAGCCAGACGTACTCAGGATTCTGGGACTCCCACTTCTAGACAGCCACTCATGATGTTGCAATGTTGCAATTGCTGGTGTGTGAGTGACAGCTGGTGGAGCTGTGGCTCTCTGGGGCCAGCTATACTGCTCTCTTAGAAGATGTTGCCTGAGCTTAACTAGATGCGTTAGGGACTAGGGAAGGTCCTGGGTAATGAAAGCCAGAAGTCCCAGACAAGTGACAGACAGGAACACTGAGCAGGGCCACAGTGGGAGAGAAGCATTCAACCAGTCTTACCAGCCGGTGTCCAACTGGGGCCTCCCAGTCCAGCAGGGAAGCTGGGGCCTTCCATTGTTAGACACTGGCACATAGGTCAGGTAGACTTCCTAGTTCATAGGAAATAGTTCATAGGACACTTCAGTGACCCCAAGAAGGTCATGGCCATTTCTGTCCCGCATTCTGCATATTAAATTGTAAATTCCATGAGCCAGGATAGTACTGCCTGGGACCGGGGCTGTCTTTTGCAGGCGCTGCTCTCCTAGGGTCCGGCTAACACCCAGTATTCTAGAACTTTCTCCCTGACCCCTAGAGCTCCTTGTAAGGACCCATCCCTGATTCCCCCCACAGTGTGTCCCTCTATGTCCTTAGGGACAACTCCCCACTCTCTGGGCCTCCTAAGGGCTTCTGTGGTCCCTCCAGCTCTCTGCGAGGGCTCCACTGGGAAGTGCTGGTATGTTTGTCTGAAACTTCAACATCTTCTGAGAGGACTCCAGTGGGTCTTGGATGCTTTCCTCCTGACCCCCAAAAATTATGTCACATGGGTGGTGTACACCCCAGAGCGTAGGAAGGTTCTAGGTATCCTTAGAGACTTAGGAGCTTAGGATCCCTGAGCAGAAACGGAACTTTCTAAAGGATTTGCAAATCCAGCTCTCAATTCCCGACAGTGGAGAGAGGAAAAGTGGGCATTTGGGAAGCTGATAGTCACCTTAGAGGACAGTGACAGCCATGGCATTAGCGCTCACAGGCCCAGCAAGCAGCAGATGGTAGAGCCTGCTCTAAACTGCGCCTCCCAGACACCACAGCATTCTCTCCTTACCTCTGCTTCAATCTGCCTGTCGGTGTCCTGCATAGTCCAGTCTCTGGAGATGCTTCTATTATTATTATCATGGGGCACGTCCACCACCTCACCTCCCCTCCTTCTCCTTCCCCGAGCTGCCTGTCCAAAAAGGAAAGATACCCTTTCCAAAACCGAGTTTGCAGGACATAAATTTAAGTACATGTGAGTTTTATTCGAAAGCTCCTTCTCTAACAGAATGTTCTTTCCTCTCTCCTCGGTGACTGCTGGGGACCTGGATGTAAGTGTTCAGACAGGCATGTCCTGCCTTGCCTCACTAATGTGTGTCGCGTGGGATGTATGCTAACCCGGGTGTGGGGCTGCACTGTGGGTTTGGGCCTGGCAGATCTGTTCAGGTCCTTAAAGGGCTTAGACTTCCCAGCCTCTCCTTTGCACCATCCAGTGCTGAGCCTGACCCTAACACATGTCCTTAAGTAGAAACCACCAACCTTGACCCAAACGTGACAAACCAGTGGGCTCCAGGCCTGGGCTGCCATTGCTGCCATTGGGAGGAGTGTGGCGTGAGACCTCCTATGAGAGAACCTGTACCCACACAAGTTCTCAGGGTCTTGGGGTGTGGTCCATTGCTAAGGCTGAGGACATAGAAGATCACAAGTCTATGCAAATCTATAGGCACACTCCTGAGTTTCCTGCCCCATCAATTGTCCTGTTCCCTCAAACTGGCGGCACCCTTCAGTGTGGCCAATTTCACTGTGACTTATTTCTTATTTATTCTGCTGCTTGTTCCAAAAAGGAAACGAATGTGAAGGAAATATATGTGAAATGGTTCATCAAAGTAAGGGGGAAAATGAAAGTTGGGGGACGTGAGAAGGAATAGGATTAAGAGAAAATTCTAATGCCGGCCACCTGGTCATGGAGCATCAAAGACTGGACCCCCTGGACAAATCACTGGAGAGGGAAATACAGTTAGCCAGGGCCCCCAGTGCACTGGAGCTCGGAGGCGTGGCTTGCCCATGGTTACCTTCTGTCCTGAGAGTGAGATCATATACAAACAAGAGGCTAGGGACTCAGCTTAGTGGTAGGGCCCCTGCCTGGCAGATGCAAAGCCATGGATTTGATTTCCCACACTCTAAATAAATAAATACCAACGACACACGTGACAGACTTACAGGGACTGTCCCAGCAGTTGGGGCTGGCTGTAGGCGGGGCTCTGTGTGGCTTCCATCTGAAGCTATTTCTCTCCCCCAGACCCCCCCCCCCCCCCCCCCCCCTCCCCCCCCCCCCCCCCCCCCCCCCCCCCCCCCCCCCTCCCCCCCCCCCCCCCCCCCCCCCCCCCCGCCCCAGCCTCTGCCAGATCAGGTCTGGCTTCTGCTCCTGCCTGTTCATCTGGAATGACCTCCGCTCCTAGAAGTCACGGGATCCCTTCTTTGCAAACTATAGCCCTTGTTCAAGGCTGCAGTGCGAAGCCTTGTTAAGAGTTTCCGTACTGAGATGGGCATAGTTTGTTTGTTTTATTTTGCTTTTGTGCCTGAGACGGAGTCCCCACACTGTAACCCAGACTGGCCTGGAATTCACTGTGTGGCCCGGGTTAACCCATGGCAATTACCGGTGTGCATGCCCAGCGCTCATTAGTATTGCGGTTAATGCGTGGCTGGGATGCTCAGCCTCGGTGCCTTCTGGTGGGTGGACTGGGTAATTAGATACCCAGGATCCTGCTGTGTCTCTGGATTATCTTCTGATGCCTGTGGTGATTAGTATAGGGAAAGCCCTGGAAACAGGGTTTAAGGGGAGCAGCACACAGCTGATCAGAGGCCCAACGTCAGCCAGTGCCCAATCCCATCCTCAGGATGCAGGTGTTTTGCCAGGCAGGGCTCTCCAGGATGCTTCTCCATTTTTACCTTGGCCTGGGAGCTTTGGGTCCTGGGTAGGTCTGGACCTGTTCTTCCTCCCAAGCAGGAGGAATCTGTTCCAGAGGAGTGCCCTGGTTAGCGAGTGTCATGCTCCAGTGCAGACCAGAGCTGAGTTCTCTGAGATGCCAACAGGCTTCTGTTTAGGTTTCTGGAGTGGCTGTACCAGCTGAATGCTAATCCTTCCTCAGATACTCAGAGGACGTGAGGGATGGGCAGCCACAACCCTACAACTTGAGGAAGTTTTCTGCTGAGCTGAGACAGGGTAGCTGGCAAGAGCCAGGGCATGAGGCGGGGACCGCAGGGTACAGACTCTAAGCATTATGGGGGCCTGTAGCGGCGAACCTCTGGAGGACCAGGGTGTTGAAGGAACTGTCATGGAGTTACTGTCCTCGAGTTCAGCAAGCTGATTTAGGTGGTGGAGGGACAAGAAAACAACTGAACTTGAAGTCAACCGACTAAGAGAAGCACAAAGTGAAGAAGGGGCAAATTTATGATGTCAGGTCCTAAGAAGGCACAGCCTGAGCTGCTGGCTCCCTCCACTCCCAACTCCGTTCTGCAAGGCCTGCTAAAGGCAGCCGTGATCTCGTGCTGCCCCCTGCTGGCTATATGGAGTACAGCAACAGAAACTAAACAAGCTCTTAGTTGTGGGCTTTTAGTTTAGTTCATACGGGCTGCTGTTGCAGGGCTACCAGCCCGCTGCTGACAGATGGAGCCAGTTCTGTGGCTGAATGTGATTTTAGGATCAGTAGCAGGGTACCCCAGAAAGCTCAGGTTTCTGCCTGCAGGCCTCAGAGTGGTGGAGCCAGAGGAGCTGTGGGCCCTCTAGCTCTACCTTCTGTGGTTTTGGGCGGCGACAGCACACAAAGAATAGAAAGACATGTCTGTAGATGCCAGATAAACTGGGTATACGCAGAGAATAATTTACATACTAACTAAGCCAGGGCCTCCTGGCTCGGTAACATGACTGCATTCAATGAGCCAAGTTAATTCTGGAGCTATGCCTATAGTTCATTCAAGTTAGCCAGAAATAGGAATCTTGCTGTCAGGTGGGGGTGGGGTGGCAGATACATTCAGATTTTGCATTGAAATGAGGGCCCTCTGCTGTCTAGCACCGGGTCCTTTGAAATGAAAAATCTGCACAGCTCAGTTTAAAGCTGTCCCTTGAGGCCTCTCGGAGGCGTGTTATATTCCGTCTCCCACAGAACTCCTAGTGCTGCGTGCCCTGGGTGCCGACTGCACTCTCAACATCGCCCGTGCATACAATTTAGAAAGCCGGGGGCCACTCCTCAGGAGCACAGCTCTTGTTCTCGGAGAAGAGGTTTCTCTTGAGCGCTCTTCCGGTGCCAGCTCAAGGGTCTAAGCGTCAGGGCTTGACAAGTCTCAACGTCTTCCCCCATCCTCCTGGTGGCTGTTCAGTGGCTTCTGAGCCTACAGTTGATTATCTGCAAGCTGCCAAGTCTTCCAGTTACCTTCACACACACACACACACACACACACACACACACACACACACACACACACGACAGTGCAGCTTCTTTGGACCTGGGCCCCTGGTTGTCCTAACAGGTTTGTTGTGCTGTGTACCTAATCTCACCCTCCTGCCTGCCCTTGCTCCTTTCTACACTGACCCCTCCCCGCTGCACTTTGTCTCCTCTGTTAGATGGACATTAAGTGGTTGAGGGAGATGTGAATGAGGGTGGTGTGAAGTCATGGGAGCCCCACCAGGTCCAAAGCCCACTGGCGTTTTCTGACGACGAGGAGGAGGACCTGTTGGAGTTCATGTACAAGTATAAGGCACCGAGGAGGACGGAGTTGCCCCTGGAGGTACATGGTGGGGGGGGGGGCTGGAGCAGATGTTTGCACTAGAGATCTGGGGGTCCTGAGAACAGCATCACTTGTAATACTCAACATTCTCTGAGTGCTTAGGGGGGAAAGTGACTTCCCCATCAAACAGGTAGGATAAGCCACCTGGTAGCCTCTAGCTACGTGCCAAGGTGTGTGTGTGTGTGTGTGTGTGTGTGTGTGTGTGTGTTTGCATGTGCACATACATGCACACACACATGTGGAATCAGTTCTAAGGATGGAAATCAGGTCAGGCTTGGCGGTTAGTGCCTCATTAGATGAGCCATTTCTCCAGCACCACGGTTCTTTAAAGTTATCAGGAAACAGTATACTTGGCACTATGGCCGGTTGGGATGCCGACAGGTGTGGCGGCAGAAAGACCATGCCTGACACTCAGGGGCTGTGTTCTGTGATACAGGTGGAGAGTCAGTAGTCACTGGCTCAGGACAAAGCCATTTGGTTCCTCTCTGGTTCACTGTGTACTGAGCTTTCTGGACTGGGGGTCCATTGTGAGAAAGTCATGATTCCTGTCACAAAATTAGAGGGACGGCCGGGCAGTGGTGGCACACACCTTTAATCCCAGCCTCGGGAGGCAGAGGCTGGCAGATCTCTGTGAGTTTGAGGCCAGCTTGGTCTACAGAGTGAGTCTACAGAGTTCCAGGACAGGCTTTAAAGCTCCAGAGAAACCCTGTCTTGAAAAAAAAAAAAAAAACACAAAACAAAAACAAACAAAAAAATAGAGGGCCCTGTGAGAATCAGATGAGATGTCAGAGACACCCCCTTCATAAGCACGGAGGCCTAGTTTTTTTGTTTCCTCAGGAATGGAAGCTGCAGCCACCTCAGATGTAGGAGTCCCTTCATTCCCGCCCAAGATGGATCGTTCATATTCTCTCATGTATTATTTCCCCCACCTCTTCTTTAGTGCTGAGGATCAAACCAGGGCCTCCCATATATATTAGCACACACTCTACCACGGAGTTATGTCCCCAACCAGCCGGTGTGGGTTAGTTCTAAGTACTGGACTAGTCCTATCCGGCCTCAGAGTCTGGGAAACCTCATAATGGAAAAATTCACTCTAAATATCCCATGCCCAAGGGATCATGCTTTGTGTGTGTGTGTGTGTGTGTGTGTGTGTGTGTGAGAGAGAGAGAGAGAGACAGACAGACAGACAGACAGACAGACAGACAGACAGACAGAGGGTCTCATTCTGTAGCCCATGATGGCCTCAATCAAGCCCCCTCTAGAGTGGATGCAGGCCACAGACTCCCGCCCCTCCTGCCTCTGCCTGCGGCATTCTGCGGTCACAGGTGTGCCCCACCACACCTAGCTGGGGTTTCTTTAAAGCATTGCACACGGCTTCCCTGCTAATGTCCAAGAAATGGGTGCCTAAAAAAGGAGGTTTTGATTGCTGCTGTCTCAGTCTCTATCCAGAAGGGACAGTGAACCTTTCCTACCAGTGAAACTGTGGCCTGAGGGATCTGGCTGAGCCCGTTCCCCACTTGGGTCAGTCACCAGCAAATAGTGGCCTCACCTCAGTCTGATGTCCCACTCACTGCACCCGGTACAAAGCCCTCTGCTATGTGTACAAACCACTGTGAGGAAAAGGAACTGGAGGTGTGCATCTCGTAGGGCGAGTGCTCACTTAGCAGTGTATGAGCCCAGGTGTGGAGCACATCTGTCAGCTCTGCTCACTCTGGAGGCTGAAGCAGGAGGATCAACACAAGTTTGAGTCCAGCCTGGGCTACAAAATAATCTATCTCATGGCCACCTGTCTCTAATGAACAACACTGACCAGGCCACTATGAGGGACAAAGGTGGCTGTGTGGCCAGGCAGGTCAGAGTCAAGAGGTCTCCTGGACAAGCTCAGGGGGACCAGAAGTATCAGGACAGAGAAAGGAGCAATAGGACTTCCTGTCAGAAGGGACAGTGGTTGACAGTATGCGGGAAAGTTCTCTGTCCTGGCAGAGAAGCTCAGGCTGTGGACAGTGGGTCGGGGCCAGCTCTGGGGACCCTATTGGGTGGCATGCTAGGAGAACACCTTCCCTTTTCCTTATTTGGATCAAAATGCCTCCTGTGGCTTGTGCCTCCCTAAGAGAAAGTCCCCACAGTCATTGTTGGGGAGGTGAGGTGCTGTTGGCCTTTGTGGTGTGGCCTGCTGGATACTAAAAGGTTTCACATGCAGAATAAAGACTGAAGTTTGAAGCATACACCAGAAAACAGTTCCCAGAGGAACTGGAAATAAGCAAAGGGCTGGAGCTGTCTTCCTTTGGACTCAAGAAGGCGTGATGGCCTTCTCAGGGGGCTCAGTCTCACCTTACATGATACAAGGGTGGGACGGTAGGAGCTGATTCCTGTTGTGGGGACCCCAGCTCTACCTGCGAGGGAAGCTGGCCAAAGGAGGTGATGTCTCAGTATCCCTTCCCCAGATGCTGTCCCCCAAGCTCCTCCACTTCATTCACATGGAGGATGCCCTGTCTCTGCTTCCTCTACCAGGCACCGCCTAGAATCCTTCGGTCTCGCTTCAGGAAGAAAAGTACCTCATCCTCGGCCACTGAAACCACGTGAGTGAGATGAGCCAACAGCACCGGATCCACAGATGTCTCTCCTCTGCCTTAAAGAGCTAGTCACTAGTACCACGGCAGTCCACGGGCTGGGTGTGCTTTGCGTGTGCAGCCTCACAGACATGGCCTTTACTTACTCCCCTCTTCTGCCTTTAAGACTCTTCTGTTCTTCCCTTCTTGTTCCTGCTGGGGAGAGGCTAAAGGAGGTGGTGGAGGGTGACCTTTCCGTCTTCTGGGGTTAGTAATGTCCCGCAGCTGGATTGTCATTGTGGCCACAGTGTTTTTAGATACATAAGCTCTCTTACCCTGCTGCTGAGATGGACATTTGTAATTTATTTTGTTGCATAGTTTTCGGTCCTGTAAATGCAAACGAAGTGGTCGTTTTAAAAACCCTTTTTGTTGTTCAGGGTACTAATACATTGGACTATGATGTACATATTTACGGCTTTTAGCTTAATGTAATGAACGTGCAAGGGCTGCTAGAGGTTCTGATAAGCGAGAGGACTGCAACAAAGTGGAAATGTAGACAAATATTTTGATTCTAGACAATGTCTCCAACCTGCTTACAAAGCCAGTGCCAGTAGGGCATGTCTTCTCCCGCAGGAAGATGGCCCACGTCTTTCACGTGGCTGTGTAGTCAGCAGAGCTGAGCCGGAGCGCAGGCTCTCGGCAGCAGGAAGTTTGCTGAGTCAGGGAAGAGGAAGGAAGTACATCTCCTCGGGTTCAAGATCAGAAGCATCTGAGCCCTTTGGAAGGCATTGGAACTGCCTCAGGCAGGCAGAGGGCTCGCCCTTAGCAGAACCTTTGGGGGGGAGGGGTGGAAACTCAGCTGCTGGAAGAATTCCAAGTATCTCCAATCACTTGCAAGAGTATTACTCCTTCAGGGACCAGTGCCGTGGCCGATTTCTCCAGGAGGAAGAGCCTACATTTGAGCACCTTGTTTTAGAACACTAAGCAAAGAGGAAAAGCTAGAACTAGGCTTTGTTTCAGATGTGCTCCGAAACCACGAGCCGCTCACAGAACCACAAGAAGGCAGGATCTGGGGAGGACCGAGGCTGAGGTCCACAGGCAGCCGTGGCTTTTGCCCCCTCCTGGCTTGTGTGAAGATGAACCGGGTGGACTGACCCTCACGCTCACTCCATGTCGTTGTGGATGTTTTACACAAGCCAGGACTGAAGGGAGAACTTGACAAGTATCTGACTTAGATAGCATGGTGGTCTGTGGAGCTGCCCTCCCCTCTGAGAGCTGAGCCAAATTGTAGGGCTAGTCTGTTTGTGCTTAGAGCTGGTGTTTCCTTTCCGTGTAATGCATGCAGTGGTCCCAACCCAGTTACTCCTATTTGGATTGTATTTGTTCATAGCTATGCCCTGAGGACTAGAGAAGTAGTGTTGTATACCACATAGACCGGCAGTAACTGCCGACAGGCTCCATTACCGAGCTACACACGCATACGCTAGGAGACTGCCAGGCTACGTTAGCTGCACTTTGGCCGCTTCACAGGTTTCAGTTGAAGTACATTGCTGCCAGATACACCTAGTGAAATTCTACCAACATGAGTTTGTATTTTAGAACTAACCCTAGAGAACTAACCCTAGGGAACTAACTTAGAAGCTGGTGACTGCGAGGGCCAAGAGTCTGCCTAAGGCCCACACCCATCTGAACCCGTTAAAGACATCTGTCCTCTTCAACAGCTCCAGACAGGTGACATGATGCCCTGTACAATGTACAAACCTGTTGGTTGGGTGTATCTGGGATGAAGAGAAACAGGTGCAGAAAAGCCTGAGAAGCAGCTTTGCAGCCCCCCTAGCCCACTCCCCCCAAATCAATGGCTTTAGGAGCAGAGTTCAAGTCCTGTTGTATTTTCACTATTTTACTATGGGAAGTCAGAGCATGTCTAGGCTACCAAGCTTGTACTCAGCGATGCCAAAACCCAGTGTGAAGCACTCCGCTCGGATGTGCCGCATTCTTGCTCGAGATTTAAAATAGAAAGGTATCTAAATCGTTGTCTTATTGTAAATGTAACTACTTCTCCTTCAAGTGTTGACTAGAGGGTCATCTCCTCTCTTAAAGACACTCACTATAGAGCCGAGCGCAGTGGTCGTGTTTACTTGTCAGACAAGCTGTGCACTTGTATGTGGACTGACGTATGATGTGAATGTCCCTGTCTGTGGAGTGGTGTGGTGCTGTCTAGATGAGAAAAATGAATGTTTCTAGTTTGCTGACTTAGACACGGGCTGTTTACAAAGTGCTGGTTCAAAGGTCTGCGCTTGTCTCGGCTTTGAGCTGCTCGCCTTGGAGGACATGGCCATTTCTGAAGACGTGAGGTGAGAGCTCACGCCCATCAACTGGAGATTTAGTCATAACCTCTCCTGACTGTGTGTGGTGAGCTTGCTCACTCTGCTGGCCTTCGATGTGTACGTTCTCCGTGGTAACCTGCCCGTGTGTTTGTGTTAAGAGCGCTCATCAGCCACAATGTCGCGTAGCGTTCCCAGTCTTCGGCTCGCACAGTATTTGAAGTGGCGAAGGATGCGCTTCATCTTCGGACAGCGAGCCCTCAGCAACTGGCGTTCCGGATTGTGACTGTGCACACTTCCTCTAGCTTATTTCTGAAGTCTCTCTAGAGTGAGCTGTAACTAAATAGTACCCTGAACTGTGTTTCTAAGGGGTGTAAACTGCAGTATTCTGAAGGCTGAAGCTCTGCTGTCGTTATAATGCCTGGTAAACATCTTGAATAAAGTCTTAACATTTTATTTAAAAAAAAATTGTAATGTTGGGCTTATGAGAAAAGAGGAAATACTTTTGTAAAAAAGGATTTCTTATTTTGGTGGTTTCTAAACAATTATTGACAAAGACTGCCAAGTCATTCCTCAGTGGTCCTAAGGGGGAGTACCAGGAGGTGAGAGGATAAAGATAAAAGCTGGGCTTGGGAGGTGTTGCACAAGCTATGCCTTATCCCAGACAAGCTTCTTAAGAAGTATAACATCGGGCTGGAGAGATGGCTCAGCGGTTAAGAGCATTGCCTGCTCTTCCAAAGGTCCTGAGTTCAATTCCTGGCAACCACATGGTGGCTCACAACCATCTGTAATGAGGTCTGGTGCCCTCTTCTGGCCTGCAGGCATACACATAGAAAGAATATTGTATACATAATAAATAAAAAATATTAAAAAAAAAGTATAACATCTTACATATAGTTTGCGGGGAGGGGTGGGGCTGAGTCAGCAGAAAGCCATCGTACAGTGGGATGACGTCAGCGGAAGCTGATCAAACAGTGCTGCACAAGGGCACACAGGGTATCTCCAGGGCATCAGAGACCTGGCACACATCAGCACTGGAACCGATAACTCCAGTCTCTTCAAGGGAAAAAGCCAAGTTCCCAGAAACCAAAACCTTAGCTCCTTTAAGGACTTGGCCGTAGCTTCACACCTTTGGCCAGGCCACAGAACTAGGTTCCTTTTGTCCTTTCACTGGGGCCTCCAAGAAAGCCTTGGATTGGCCTGGCTTTCAGCAAATTATGTGTATGTGTGTTCCTGTATACAAGAGTTCAGATACCCAAGGGCCAGAAGAGGGCATCAGATCCCATAGAGCTAGAATTACAGTCCAAACTTGGGTCCTCTTAGCATTCTTAGCCACGGTACCATTTCAGCAACTCCAAAACACGTGTTGAAAATGTAGGGAGGGATGGTGAGATGCTTAAGAAGCAGAAGTGCTGGCTAGCAAGCCTAAGGACTCAAGTTTAAACCCTGGGACATGCTGGGTGGTGGTGGTGGTGCACGCCTTTAATCCCAGCACTCAGGAGGCAGAGGCAGTCCGACCTCTGAGTAAGAGACCAGCCTGGTCTACTGAATGAGTTCCTAGACAGCCAGGGCTACACAGAGAAACCCTGTCTTGAAAAACAACAACAACAACAACAAAAATAAAAACAAAAAACCAAACCAATCAAACAACAACAGCAACAACAAAATCCTGGGAGCCGCACGGTAGGAGTGGGCCTCGCATGGTAGAAGACACTCTTGCAAGCTGTCCTCTGGCCTCCACTCACTGTGGCTCACATACTCCACCCCACCCCAAAATTAAATCATTAAAATGTAATATAAGTTTTTCAACGTGGGAGGGGTCTAGGGATGTAGCTCAGTTGGCAGAGTGCCTGACTAACATGCACGAAGCTCTGAGTCCAATCCCTAGCACCATATAAAGCAGATACGGTGGGACACACCTGCAGTCCCAGCACCGGAGGCAGAAGCAGGAGATCAGAAGTCAAGGGAATACTCAGCAATACAGAGATTGAGGCAGCCCTGGGACACAATGAGATTGCCTCAAAAATACAAAACAAACATAAAATTATAAATAATAAATTAATTAAAATTTAATTTTAAATGTAGAAGGTAGCAAGGGTTAGAAACTGAACGCTTAACTACTCCCTAGCCTGGAAACTTGCCCACTATATAGGATGACATCACTGATACATGTTTCGTAAGCCCAGATGATCACACAAATAGTAATGGTAAGGTGTCGCTGTTGTACTCTTTTAGAGATCAGTGGAACCTGGGTACCTGCTCACTGGTAGGCAGCTTCACTTTAGTGAGTAGACCACTGGGTAGCCGTTTCCTTGAGTGTGTTCTTCACCTATGCAGATTAGAACAGGCTTGCACATGTGTTGGAGCCACTGCGGATGGTGAAGATGCCCTCAACACTCTCGCCTTTAAACCATGAGCATCAGGCACTGGGGGCCTTAGCCTTCAGAGTGCTAGAATAGAAGGCTCGAGGCACTGGGTTCCTGTCCAGCACCACAGAACAGGACGTGATGGCACAGTCCTATCATCCCAGAAACCAGAGAGGTGGAGAGGGAGAGTCAGAAGTTCAAGGTCATCCTCAGTTACCCGCGAATTTGAAGCCAGCCCTGGTTAAGGAGACTATTTCAAAAACCAGCCAACAATAAGGCAGCGGGCTCCTTCCAGCTTTGCTGGAAGTCACAGAGGACCTTGAAGCTTCAGAGCTAATCACAGTTCTGTTTCCTTTGTTTGTACAGTACAGACTGGAAAATGGTAGGTTCAGAGGGCAGAAAACAGAAGAGATGGGAAGAAAGGCTAGAAATCCATTCATTTATTCATTTACTGAGTTAGGGCCGTGCCCCAACAGAGTTGACAGGTAGAAAGCGAAGTCACACAACTTCTGAACTGAAATGGTAGAGAAATGAAGGATTTACTAGTGTCGGATCACAGTTACTGGTTGATTAAAATCTGAGTTGTCCTATCTTGTTAGAAAATCAAAGGAAGCACACAAGATCCCAAAGAGTTAGACAGGAGTTCTAGATCACATAAGGTGAATTCAGAGTATTATTTAAGCCTCTGTAAGCTTTAGTGGCCTCCAGTTTATATCAGGGATAAATGCTAGCTCCGCTGTAAGGCTAATGATATGAGGCCTGGCAGATTTGTGCAGATATACTGAAATATAGCGAGTGTTTAACAAATTACATGTACGTAAACAATTACACCTGAACATCATTTAGGCAAGCCCTAATGCAAACTGCTTTATCGTCAAACTAAAAACTCAGCTCTGATGAAAAACTCCCCTACCCACAAACAAAAGCTATGTGTGAAACCTATACACAGAGTGCCTGCAGCCTATCTACCACGGCCTGTGGCTGCTGGTCCTTCCCTGCCTAGCCTGTCCTTGGCCACTGGAGACGCCAAGGTGCCGAGGCCATGTAGCAGAGACCCGAAACATCCACACTGAGCCTAGAGAAGTTATGGGGCTGCCCGGTGCCTTCTTCCTTAGTTTCTGCAGCATCAGCGCTCCCTAGTGCCACAGATGTGCTGGAAGCGGGAGCTGCGCAGGTGAGGAAATGCAGAAGCCCCTCGGTACTCAGCTTCTGCCACCTCAGGAGTGTGGCAGAGAGGAAGAGCCACCAGAACAGAAGCCATGTGGAGTATGAGGTGCTCAAGTTGCGTGCCTGGTCTCACAAATACATGCTCGGCTTTCTGGTTTCACATCATTCCACATCCCTCTCTGTTTAATGAACACAAGCACTGGCTTCGATGAATGGCCTCAAATTCATGGCCTGACATGACACAGAACTTCAATTATCTTATTCTACTAAGTGGTTTAGTAGAATAAGGTTTCAAACAGTATTTCATAATTCTATTTAGTGGGAGTCTTCAATTTGGCAAGCTGCTTTGTTTGCAAATGCTTCCAGATAATTCCGACCAGAGCGCTAGAGTTGCTGCCTTGGACTGCGGCCATCACGTGCACATAAGTAAATAATATGTAACTCTTCATCATTTCCCATCCCAGTACTAACAGGGACCCGCTTAGCTTCCGAGAGCAGGCAAAATCATGTGCATTCAGGGTGGTGTGGCCACGGCCTCTTCCACTTCTGAAGTGGGTGAATCAACACTGCTGCCCTCTGAGCGCAGTGGGCAGCCCGCCAGTCTCCTCAAATGACGGGTATTTCTTATCCCCTTGGTTTCCACAATGTAACTTTAGAGATTCTTGAAAAAAGCTTATTCTTACAAATGAAAATAAGAAATCTCAAGTGGATAAACTTTAAAACCTTTTAAAAACTGGGCAGACGACTGGAGACAGTTTAACAGTTGAGAGTACTGGCTATGCCTGCAGGACTCAGGTCAATCCCAGCACCCACATAGTGGATCACGACCATGTGTAATTCCAATGCCAGTGGACCCAACAATCCTCTTCTGGCCTCCAAAGGCACCAGGCACCACATGGTGCACATACATACATACATGCAGGCAAAACACTCGTATGTGTAAAAAATAAAAATTAAAGATGAAAAGAAAAAAATTGGATAAAAGTTTATCATATAGCTATGTGTTTCAAGAAGGGTGTATGGAAAGGTGGTTTACTTTTACAAAAAGTATCCTGTTACAATAAAATAAATAACTGTCACGAACACAAAGAACCCAGGACACAAGATGAAACTACACTGCTACCCTGTGTCACCCCTTTGCAGAACTGCTCACAACTGCTTTTTCATTCCACTTGAACCTGCTAATACAACTAAGACACAGGCAATCTCTACATTGCATGGTGGCATGGATTAAGATTTATTTAAATGGGTAAGCTGGCCCACTTAGGAGTCTCTAAGCAATAAGAGACAAGAGATGACATGAGCTAAGGGCTGTAATGTTAAAAGGAACCCCACAGGTTCACATTGAATAGTCTGAGGGAACACAAACTTTACATAAGTACAGCCAAGAAAAAGAGGGATGGATAGTCACCAACGTGGCAGAGACCAGGCATACAGCCCCACCATCAATCTGCTCCATCCAACTCCACCCTTCCCAAAGCTGGGGTGGGGAAGTCTCAGAAGTAGGTCAAACTGTGAGGTGGTTCCTGAATTCCAGGGTAAATGTATCATGCCTTATATTGAGGGTAGGCACGCAGGATGTCTGTTCAGCATATGCAAGGCCCTAGATGCAACCCTAACTCTCCACTACTGAAGTGTCTTTTCGTGTTTTTCCTCACTTGAGATTCTTCGCAACCATTACCACTTTTGGAAATAATGCACAAAAAATGTAACTTTCAGTTCCATGACCAACTCCAGGATGTTTAATGCATGGACCTTTATTTTAGAGCACAATGCTGCTATTCTGTTTGTCTATCAGGTGATACAGTTTACAGTTTATCACATACTCACTTCTGCAAGGACATGTACACAGAGATCCACATTCCGCAGCTGGGAACCTAGGAAAGCTCTGAACTATACTCGCAGGTTCGTTCGATCGTGGTACATCTGGTAAGGATCACCAGCGTACCAGTTGCGCCTCTTCCAGAAAGACGTCGTCATTTTATCTAGGAGTTTACTCTGGGTCTTGTTGCAGAACACAAATTCCCTCAAGCGCTTCTTTCTTGCCGTTGTCTTTTTCCATAATTTTTTCTTATAGCCCGCCTATGAGATAACGTTACAAAGACATTTTTAAAATCATAAAGGTAGCAGAGTGTGGTGGACAGGTGACTGTGATGTTATCTTTATAGAGTCCTGCTCATCACCATTAGCATCCTAAGATGACTCTGCAATAGACCACAATGAAAACACTAGAAACCTTAGCTTCTAGGTCAGAAATAGAAGCAAGGAATAAATTATAAGAGTTAGGGTGGCCTGGATGAAACCATGCCCCAGAAAATACTTCCAGATTTTGTAATTAGCGAGAGCTAACCCAGACTTTTGTTTTCCAATTGACGCAGGCAAGAAAGGTGCTCGCCTCAAAAGCCTGTTGACCTGAGTCAGCTCTTGAACCCAAGTAAAGGTGAAGGAAAAGCAGCCCCCAAACCCATGGAAGATGGAAGGACAGACAGACTCCACACAGCTGCCCTCTGACCTCCAAACGCATGCTGTGGTATGTCACCTACCTAATAATAATCAACCTAACAAAGTAAAAATAGAATTAGACTTTGATGAAGCAGGACTTTCTGCACAAGACACAAACTGGGTTGAGTACTGCTAAAGACTTTATCAGGACTTCTGTAGTATAGACCAAGAGTCCAGAGCCCAATACCAGGGACACACAGGGGCTGGAAGGACTAAGAGCACTTGCTATTCTTACAGAGAACTCACAAGACAGCACACAATCATCTCTAACTCCAATTCTAGGAATCAAATGCCATCTTCCAGCTTCTGCAGGCACCAGGCATGCACATGGTGAACATAACTACATGCAGGCAAACATATACATGTAATATAAAAATAAATTTAAAACAAACAAAAGAGGTACTAGAAATGAAGGAAAAAAAAATCACTCATTTCACACGAAAGGACCTGGCATAATAAAAGGAAGCATGGAAACTGCCGTGCAGCATCTTCCAGACCCCTGAGCTCCTGCCGGCTAGGAACCACAAGCTTGTCTCACTGGAGCAATGAGCTGATGTCTAATCCACACATTCACCTACAAATTTAGGCTGTCTCTAAGAGAGGGAATAAGCCTTTCAGGCTTCCAATAGTGACTGCGCCTGCCTTACTGGAGACTTGGCCACTCTGAATAATGCTCTACTTTATTCACACGTGCATGCCTTTCTCTACACAAGGATGGGCAGGGATGCCTGCAGAGCTGGCCTCTCAGACAACACCAAGGAGCTACTGGGAAGATTAGAGAGCACAACACTGAATTCAGCTGCATCTTAACTTCCTGTCTTTCAGCCAGGTAACAGTAAAGACTCACCTTTCTCCTCAACCAAAGGCCAGAATGAAGTCGCAGGAACCGATGCACAACCGATTTTACTGTCTTCCTCTTGCCTTTCCGTTTGCTGCAGTATGTTAGAGTTCTGACTGGCGGCTTCAGGACACTGGGAACCAGTGCAGCCACTCTAAATACAGTTTGTAAGATGTAGCAATCAGACTGAGTGACAGACGAGACATTACACAGCTCCACCGGAGGGAACTGACCTTTAGCACAGCACATTACTTCATGAGATAGTAAGCACAAAGGATGGCACCCTTCCCAACTTCAAGCCTTCTAAAATCTGCCCGTAAGGGAAAGGTAGAACTATGTTTAGCACATACAAGACTGTAGGTCCAATTTCCTAACAAGAATAAAACTCACCCACTCAATCACTACAAGAGAATCTATCCCTGTACTTTAACCACACAGTTTCTTACCTGTCTGCCTACCTAAGCATAAACTGCTTGAGGACTTCAGCTTGTTTATCTTTGTGTACTTTCTGCAAGTACAGTGCTGGGTACCTATGGGTGCTTAACTGAGTATCTGACTGACTGACTCTCACACAGCCAAGCCACATAGGCTGAGCATCTCATTTGATCTGGTTCGCCTGACATCCTCCATCGGGAACAAGAGCTGAACAACATCAGAAATGA